ATAAATATACACACCGTGTTGCTGAGATTTCTCACTCAGCGGCACGGTGTATAAATAGATACGGCAAATGGATTATTTGACTCCCGGTAAATTGCCGCACTTGATACTTGCCATTCTAATTTAGACCACTCATTCCCGCCTGAATCCTGCCGAAGAAACGTTGCGCTACAACATTCGCCGGTGGATCCTACGCAGGCAGGCCCCCGTCTGTCCGTTTAGTCCCACCGGCAACTCCCACCGCTAACTAACTGCGGAAGAAATACTGCATCTTCTCCGTTTGCTCATTTGCGAGCGTCAACCCTTAGTTTATTTATGCCCATCAGGTTTTAACATGTATTTACGATTGTTGAGGTTTCCGTCGTCACAGCAGCCCGAAAGGCCGCGCGCCTCGCTTTTCCCCTAAAAGAGAGACGGCAGTGGCGCGGTGTAACGCTCTTCGTTAGTCTCCGTTGTATATAACTTATTAATTACGGTTGACTAATGCGTTCCAGCTGTGCCACGTAGCAACATCCTACCTTCTCCCTACGTCCGCCAACCATCTCCTCCAACTTTCTCCCGGTGCTTTCTCGGCATCCCTTAAGAGAGGAAAGAGAGTAAGAAGAGAGAGAGAGAGAGAGAGTGTGTAGGTAGGAGGAGACGTCCCGGCAGAAACGAGACGAAGGTCCTGGTAGAGCAAGAAAGGAGGGGAAACGTAGGAGGGAGAAGGGTACGGTGGAAGGTGGGAGAGAAGAGAGTAAAGCGCGAGGGACGTTAGGCAGTAACTCACGCCCCCGAGAGGATTACCTACCTACCTTGGCAAGGCTGGAGGAGGGTATATCCCACGTTGAGCTACGATCTTGCTGCGTAGCTACGCGTTCCTCATACCAAGTGTCTCCGGTACTCCCGTGCCGCGCGCAAACAGGGTTCCTCGAGGGCGTGAGCGCGCTCCGAATGGCACCGGAAGGCCGAAAACTGGTGACACGTGAACGAATTCACGTAACGCTTCAAATGATATGGAAAATTGTCCCAGATTATACACGCGGAAAAGAGATGAATCTAATTTGACTAATTCCTTAAGAGGGCGCTGAAGTCGCCTGCATTACCGACCGAATTCCACTTTTCTCCGTTTTCGCCGTACCCGTTCTTCGTATTAGTTTGCGTAGACTCGCAGGAGCTTTTACACGGCAAAAGCACGCGCAATAGGAAGGCAGCTCTCCGATTTATGACGAAGGCGAAGAAAAAATTCCCCACTCCCTTATTTCTACTATACTTCTACTTTTATTGCCACTTTTTGTTTCTAATTTATTTTTAGTTTCATCGTCTTTCGACTAAAGTCTCTGAAGCCGTCAGATCGCGGTAATATTTACTTCGTATAAAAGTTCTGCAGCTTATGCATACAAAGTAAAATCTTACCGCCATGCGAGCAACATGAGTAGAAATCGAGTTTCCGGTCTGTGATACAGGAATGACTTGTATGAAAAATTTCGTATATGTGTGGGCGTTCGACGTCTTTTACTAACGGCTAAGCTATTAAATCCGCTCGTGATAAAGCACGGTAGCAGATTAATTACGCAGGTGTCGACACATCATGTTGTTCTTTACTTTCTGTTAAACATGCCGGTTTTAGTAACGACATTTTTAGTCCCATTTAGATGAGACTGGTGCTTTTTTATCGGAGATCGACAGACACTTCAGCATTTCCTTGATGTAGAGAGTCGTTATATATTTTATGTGTAGCCACATTCATTTCTTTAATCCTTGCGACCAAGCATATAGGGAAGCGTGTATGTAAACATACTCTTACAACGATAGTGAACATTATTTAATTTAGGAACAAGTAACATGACAGATCGCCACGATTAATATATCATTAGTCTTACGTACAAGAACTGTCCACTGTTGCAGAAACTCGCGAGGGTGAACGCACAGGAAATATTTCAGAAGGGAAGTCCTTCATGGACCCAATTCACTTACTTTGATTTGATTGGTCCTGTGTATGATTCGACTACGTATATGCGTGTGCGTAGTAGAGGGAATCGAGAAAGGAGTGAGGGATACCGATACTTCGGCATCGTGTTTTGCGAAGTTATACCGGCAAATCCCCAGCAGCAATCAATGTATTGGCTCTTCTTATTAGAGTTGGCAACCAGTTAAGTCGCTCCCTGCCTCAGTTTATGGTCGAATACGTCGAAATTGGGTAGGTCCCTTTCAACCGGCATTTCAGTTCGCATTTGAAGCTTTCCCCAACGAGAAAGAAGCTTTTGACTACTTGCTAAAATTTTGTTGTTACGCAATAAAGTTGCCCCCTTTTATATCTTCTTAAAAATATATATTTTGATATTTTAACATATTTTTGTGTGCACCGTTTTTTGGGATTGCTTTCTTTTTAATGTTAATATTTCATAATACACAAAGCGAGGAAAACATTTGGAACGACTCGAATACGAAATTATAGAAAAATAATTGTTATACAATAATAATGTCTCTAGCAGCTTCGTGAATAGATTATCTAAGGATCAGTAGAATAAAAAATGCGATCCTTTAAACTTTAATATTCTAGCGCAGGCTTTAAAAAAAAGAATATGTCGGATAAAGGCTTGCTTGGCGCTGAAATTTCCTGGAATATATGGGCAAACATTTTTCAAGAAAGGCGTGAATAATGGTCGAAATATTTTTCGCTTTTCTGAACACGCTCGGTTTTCTCGCTTTGCTCTTCAGCCAACCAATCCCCCTGATATGCCTTGCTGATTTTCTTTGTTCCCCCAAATGAAAGCGTTTCAGGATCTCAGCATAAAATTTATCCACCCCTTCGGTTAAGCAGCCATATACACCTCTCCTTACTTCACGGGATGTACGGTAATCTTAGTATTCCATCCTCTAATTTCGCTCGTTTCGCGATATCCCATTACTGAAATGTATACGAAAGGAGCGTCGCAACAGTAGATGAATTTAAAACGTGTGAAAATAAGTAAAATAAATTTTAAAAAGTAATGATAAGAAAATATCATTCCTAAACATCGGTTTCATAAAATTATGAACGTATAATATCGAAAAATAAAGTATAAAAAATAATATGTAATATAAATTTATAAAATATCTAAATATATATCTAAATGTATATCTAAATATATAAAATAGATAAAATATATATATAAAATAAAAAATATATTTTTAAATCCACCAAAAATATTAAGAAAAAAATAGAATGTTTCATTATGCTTTATTTCTTTTAAATAAATCTTTCTTCTCCGGGAAAGTGTCTACAAAAATTTACAAATGGATGCGACATATATAATGATAAACGCGACAAGTGCATACAACATGTCATTTTGTTACTTTATACGTATATGTATGGGTTTAATTTAATTGCCTTATTTTTCTTACAAATTAAAAAGACCTAAGGTTCTTATCATATTGCGTACACGTTTTAAAAAATTTGTTGCGTGTCAATAAAATGCAGAAGATAATTCTAAGGCTGCTGGTAGTGTTACGTTGAAAAGAGATCGCAGGACGGAAAGGCACCAGACTTGACGGAATCTACGTGACAAATAACTGTTACAAATGCTACACCGTAATTCCTCGCCCCACCGCCGTTGCGCCGGCATGACAACCGGGAATGAGAATCATGGGGGTAGTGCAGGGTGGTAAAGAGGGCGAAAAGAGATACGCAGAGGGATCGTAGCTCGGCCGGCAAGCCACTTGTGATTACGTCGCGATAATAAACATCACACCGATATAAACTCGATTTCGGTGTGCCGATACAATGTAGATACAATGGCCGTCTGGAATTGCGACAGGAATTGCGCCTAAATCACGCATTGTGCGAGTTCACGCTCTTTGTTGGTAAAAGATTGGCCATTGCGGGTATAAATTCGAAGCGAATTTATTGAACGGCTAAATTTCGCACCGAAATTAAAACTTGCGAGTCTTGCGTACGTTGGAAGCAAATCTATTGTGTTGCATTAAGTTTTCATACGGTGTAATTATAAATATACACTCGATAAATCGTCTCGATATATCTTAGATATTCAATTAATTGGGCAAAAGTAGTTATTAAGAAGTCAGAACAGGGTAATATATCGGAAATATTCACTGATACTTATTCACGTATTACGCAATATTTGTCGACCATATGTGAGCGGAAATAGAAAGAAGCGAGACTGCTTACGACCGGCGAGAAGGGTTAGTTTGGATACCGGTTGCAAAGGTGAAACGGGAAGGTTTTTACGAGGCAGTAATGGCCGATAAGGTGAGCTCGTGCCCCCACCGTCGAGACTTACTCTGCTACTGTACCCAAGTGACTGCTTGACAGTACCTACTCTCGTTGTCGTGCACTCTTTTACTTTCTCTCGTTAGTTTGAAATGGCGTACTTGAAATATTGTATTTCAAGTCGTTCACGCACTTTCCTTATCGTCACGAGCGCCATTTATATATCGTTACGTCTGATATTCGCGCCGAAGCGCCGCGGGATATCAGAAATTCATTAGAATGTCGTTTTAATAAGTATCTTAAGCAGCGGCTCTCGCATAAAGATAACAGCTCGCTTTAAAACAAGACAAACAGCAGGAATGGCAATGACGAGCCGACGAATTCTACGCAACCCCGGTTTCTATTAAAGCAAATTATCATATATATATTTGGCCACTCTGGCAAAAAGAACATTATCATTGATCGCGAATTAATTTCTCCAAGCCTCGGATGTTTTAATTATTCCCACGCAAAGACACGATCGTGACTGCGAATTAATCTCTTCAAGTCTCAAATGTTTTAATTATTCCCACGCAAAGGCACAATCTCGACACATTTGCAAAACGAAAAGTCCTCCGACGCTTTTTTCGCCGTCCGAAGCTTGTCCAAAATTCAGGATGTGTGCATTGACAGTGACCGATTAATATCGTGATCGCTACTTTACACGCGATTCCTGCGGGCTTCGCTAGACATACACACACACACACACACACAGCACACGAGAAAAGAACAAAGAGCGCCTGCCGCTCAACTCTGATTTCGTTGTTCGCAGGAGCGAATGGAATGCGCAGGCGCGGACGACAGACCTACACGCGCTACCAGACGCTGGAGCTGGAGAAGGAATTCCATACGAACCACTACCTCACCAGGCGGAGGCGGATCGAGATGGCACACGCACTCTGCCTGACAGAACGGCAAATCAAGATCTGGTTCCAGAATCGGCGAATGAAGTTGAAGAAGGAGATTCAAGCGATCAAAGAGCTGAACGAGCAGGAGAAGCAAGCGCAGGCGCAGAAAGCGGCAGCGGCAGCAGCGGCGGCGGCTGCGCATCAGCAGCAAGGGGGCGGCGGGGGTCCAGAGGGGGGCAACTAGGGGTACGCCCTGCATCGGAGCCCCCCTGACCACCCTACCAACAATCCACACCACCCTCTGCTAGCACCGCAATGTACGCAGCTATATTAAAGGTGAGTGATTTTCATGACAACTTTTTTTTCGCCGGCGAGAACCTCCTCCCCGGAAAGGCAGGGCTGTCATCGTTGTCCTCGCGACCCGGCATGGTTTGCGGGAGAATAACGAGGATGCGCAACAGTTAGGTGTCGTGTGTCACGCACTAAAAAGATGACAGCCGCCTGCATTCGCGAAAAGTGTTGCTGTTGATGGCAAAATTGGAGCTTTCAGCGACGCTGGCCTAAAATTTCAGCTCATCCCCCGACGGGGTTAATGAGGATAAACCGCGTGCAAACGTGGTCTTCGTAATTTCCTAAGTTATGCCGTTCGCGCGTGTTTACCTGGCGTTGAACATGCATCCCAAGGGGGCGAGCAACGACGCAAACTTGAGATGTTGCGTCGCGTTTACTGCACGCCTCTTTGCCGGTGGAGAATAGAAAATTTCTCGCTTCCCTCTCTTTCTTTTTGTCATGTTGCGCTTTTCTACCGTAATGTGCTCCAAGTAACCTTTGAATAAAAAAAAACTACGACGATTTGTATCGCGAATTTGGTTTAAATTCACACGATCGGAAACTGTCGGGTACGTAAAGTCGACAAAAACAAAAAAAGAGGAGCGGTAAAATTTATGAGTGACGGATCTGAAACTCGAAGGCGGCTGACTCAAAGAAAAAAAAAAATAATAGAAAGCGCAGTCAGGTAAAAAAAATGCCAAGGAAGCGACGCCAATTTATATCACTGGTACAGAAAATCCATAATTTGTATTTTTTTTTGTCGAGAATCGACTGTGTAGTCACGGAAAACAGACAACTCTTCGAATTGTTCGGTTCAGGTAATATTGGCTATTAAAAAAAGGCCCTCTTTTTTTCGCACTTTCCCCGAGATTCATCGCCGCCACCCGGGCATTTACTACGATCCCTCCCATGTCTAAGCAAAGAAAAGGTAACATTAAAAGTTTGAAAGCTACTATATCAACCGTAGAAGTAGATTACACGCAATTTTGACTGCTATTCAGGTATCTTTTTATACATTTCCTAAAACGGAAATCCTTATTTTTCACCATGTGCGCGAAGAGATTTATATATTTTTTTTTATTAAAAAAGAATACAGTCCATACGAGGTACTTTTCGGAATGGCTTCCACGATTTTCCAGCGGTTTCCAAAATTTTAACAGAAACGCTATTAAACTTTTGAAGGAAACTTTTTTGTTGAACTATTGGAGATCGTCATTATCGTCCCTAAATAATGGCGTTATGAGCATCCTGTGCAGTTTGAAACTTATTTTTACTGTTACAACATATGAAATTTGAACTATCAAATGTTACAGAAAAAAAAAGACTGTTTGCCGTGTACATTTTTAGTTTTTTTCCAGACCCTTAAAATGTCCGCGATATAAAAGAAATACTGTAGGTGGAAAAGTTCGATCGAAACTTCTTATTCTTCGAAACCGAAGAGGAGCGTTTGATATCTCTTTTTCGGTATCTTCAGGCGACGAAGAAGTTCGAACATAAATTTTGTCCCGACTACACGTAATATTACGGTAGCGAGGCGATTCCTCGATTAACTCTGGATTGCGCTGTAATTGTACGCCACTTGAACGATTAAATAACGCCCCACCGATGATATTTATGTAATCGTGCTTATTTTATCGCTCATATCGCAATAATCGTATATTTAAAATCGTTATTGCTGCCGTTATCGTCACAATCTGTGTTGTCATCGTTTTTTATCCATTAAATGTTCCAACAAATATCTCTTAGATATAGTACGATAAATGTTTCACGCTATTTTGACCATTATTTATTGAAATTCTCAGAAACGGATGTTAGTTAGTCCACTTAAAAATATATATTTTAACAAAAATCTTATTCTAATCTGCTCGATACGTAATAAAGATATTCTACGCTTAAGCCGAGAGTCGTTTCGCAAGTTTGATTAATCTAATTGTTGCAATAACTGGTCCCATTAAATGTAATCAATTAATGCTCACGATATTAAAATTGGTCGTCAAGTAATAAATTACAAGGAAAATCCCATAAGTCAAATTCACAAATTTTACTTTGTTTAGCTTTTCGATGTTACTGCGATGATCGAATGCAAATTATGTAGAAATTCAATATTCATTACTGTCCACGCGTCGTTCATCATCAGGAAACATCTGAAACGCTCATAATATTTTTTATGCTAATGGAATAATAAAACAATTAAGATTTTTGAAGCTAGTACCCATTTCTCCACCCATGGAGAAATGAAAATCGAATCTACGTCGAAACAATCGAAATTACGTCGAATTGACGTCGATTCAATATATCATTTCTCGCTGAATACTGATGTTAGTGATAATTCCACTGTAAAGGTACCCGTAAAAATGCACTTTCTTTTCTTAACTGGTAACCTAGACGAAACTTGCAATCATAATAAACCCCAAAAGAGTTCATTTTCTTCCCGAAGGCGCATTAATCATGATTATGTATCGCTTTGACTTTTTAAATTTTCGCCACATCTTCGAATGTCTCGTATACATCTGTGATTGTAAAATGAAAATAATGGAAAACCAAAAAAACAAATTGATTGATTCAGCAAATCCATAGGTTCTGCAGATCAGTCAGAAGTCACCAATTCTCCAAAAGCTATTTATAGAAAGATAATAAATTTGGTTAACTTCAAGCACGCTACGAACAATTTTGGAATTCAGAAACTGTCAGTCATGTCAGTACCGTCAGAACGTAAACGTGTCGAAACGCGCCTTATGTTGCAACACAGTACGTATGTGGCAGCAGTGAAGGATACAGCGATGCCATCTATTGGTTTCGGAAGGTTCCGGATTAGTTAGTTATGGCTGCTTCATCGTTCCGCTTGTGGGCGTGGTTAAGTGGCGGGCAGCTATTTTCTAAAATTGACCCGCTCAATTCACCGTGCCAATTTATCGCGCCGCTTCATGACACACAAAATCGCTAAATTGTGCAATCAATCAGATTGATTTCCGGGACAACACGGTGAAACGCGTGCAAAAAGACAGCAAATAATACTCGAACTTTGACACCCCTTCCCATGTAGTACTCCGCGGGATACTTATTCCAGAACCACTTAACCGACCCTGTGCTAGGTGGCAGCACGAATCGGATTTACCCGGTCGGCAACAATTCGCCTACCTTACCGATCTCTCAATCGGTACACAACTTAATTTCGAGGTCGCTCCTACCCACCAAGCAGGATATACTGAACGGTAGTTCGATGATCGCCGGTAATGCGCTTTATGGTTTGTTTTTATCGACGTGGCTATATAGTAACTCATGATCTTCCTGCTCCCGGCGCGCGCAAGCGGTGTTAGAGTTGGTCGTACGAACGCGCACCGCTGACTCGGCAGGCTATTCACATTTTCCCCGTGAATGCATTGTCGGAGCACTATCGGTCAATAATCCAATAAACCCGCGACTCGCATTCCCACGAAGAGGAAGTAAAGTATCGGCGCCGCGTGATTTTATTGCCCAGTAAAACGTGATTTCTACAGATTGATCAGCGCGATCACCGTCTCTCCTCGCGTCCGTTCGCTCATTCGCCTGTCAAATTCGCAGGTCAGGGTTCTTTATTGGTTGTAAAGGAGGACGTTTTATGATCCATAAAAAGCATTTATAGCGCTCGAGTAGTCTTACGTCGGTTCTTGCACCCCGGTTATATCCATTACCTTTTCCGCGGCCTTTTCAAGGGCGGCCATTGGCACGTTCCCCTCTCCTCCCCCCTCTCACTCTCTCTCTTTCTCTCTCTCTCTTGACTGCCCCTGAGATTTACAGGTTACGCTCTCGGTAACACCTCGTAAACTTGGTTTAACGACTTCAACCGGGCCTAACTGCTTCCTTCCTGCAATTAGACCTTGACCTATCTTCAATGTAGCCGTCGTCCTAGAAAAATTCTAAGATATTAATCGATCATAAACCTCGTTCGTGATTTCATTAAGAAATTGTAACATGTTTTTGTATTCATTTAGAAATCAAAGTGATATTTTTTGATTATTTTACAATTAGTTATTTTGATGCAACATTTCGCAACATTACTTCTCTTTTCTACAAAATTACCTGTTTCTTTATATTGATTACTACATAGTTATTTAATTAAATAATTATCCTTTTTTCAGTGGAGTATACGACGGCTTCTGAAATAAAGTGGGAACAACATCGTGTACGTCGATTAAAGAACAACGATTAAATCATGAAAATTCTCAGTTTTTTATTTTTTCCGCCATTTTTTGAAAGTCGGGTACTAGTCAAAGTATATAATTACACTTACTTCATCTGTGACTAAAGGTTTCACTATTATAGTTGCAGTATTATGATAGCTGCAATATTGTCATATTATGTAATTTAATATATTTACTTATATTATTTAATATTATATAATATAATCATACGTATGAACTATTACATGTTTCGTTTAATGCAGGAAGAATGAATAAAATTGATGCGTTTGTTCATTACAATTTGCTTGCGTTTCATGTGGCAACGGATAGTAATGTTCTATAATGTTTAATTTAGTGTAGCATAAGTTATTCTGCAATAGATAGTGTATATGTCTTTGCCGTATATAACAAAAGTTATATATTTGATCGAAGGTTATTCAATTTTTTTCTAATATTTCTGGTCCTCAGGCAGTTTATTTATTTTATTTATGCGGATCGTACAAGATCGCATTAGAATAAGAATGGAACTAGTTAAATATTGCTTACTTGTGCTTACGTAACAAATATTGTTTACCCAATTTATCGGTTCTCCATTTACATGCTTTATGGTCCTACGACGGAAATAATTTTTGATTAAGCACCCACGTTGTGGTACACACACCTCCTTATTATCATATAAACGAGTTTTACATATTACGTAGCTTTTTTTTCCGTGCTGAAACATAAAATATTTTCAGAGACGACGTGTACGTTA